TAATCAGTTCTTCAGGATTTGAGCACGCCCTCACTTGTTTTTGTACCTTCCTATGGCTGTTAATTTGACCTCTCTTCTTAAGGGATGGTAGGATGTGATTAATGTTCCATCTGGTTTTGCCCAAAAATATTTGTGTAGCTTCTTTGGAAAAAAATATTAAACCAGATTTGGCTTTTAGGTTAATAATATAACTATCTGTGTATGATATAAAGACTGAAATGTCTGAAAGAAAAGTATTAATGGGTGTAATTTAGACTCTGAATGCTAGTTGTTAATATTTGGGTGGAGGGATCAATATCAGGAGAATAAACTTTAAAAGATTTACTATTTTCTTAGTGGAATTACATGATTTTAAGAAGGAATCACCTGGGACATTGTCTTAACAGTTATACCATGCGACTGGAAGTGAGGGTCAGTTTTTATTGTTTATAGAGTTTTCCTTGCAATTTTTAAAAAACACTTTATTAGAGAAACTTATGTTTAGAAGGAAACCTCCCATCACCTTCCCTTCATCCTCTGGACAAAACAAGAGAATGGGAGAGGGGAGAGAGGGAGAGGGTTGGGGGTACAGGTTTCATTTATACGTGTGAATGTATGTGATAGAAACCATTTCATTTTAGATACTTTTCTAAAGCCTTGGTTTACTGAATTGCTTTAATTTAGGAGTTCATAATACCTTTGCTTTATCTTTTCTGATTTGGGGGGAATCATCTGAGCATGATAAAATGCTAGTTTATTCAGAGCACTACAATTAGCTTGCAAAGGACATTATTCTGGGATTCTATGTTCAAGGGCTTTCTTCTTTGTTTATCCTGGAACAAAGATGTTCATTTTAAAGTGGCCCAAGTTAATAGTCCAACTTCAGATTTCCCATAAAACTAGTAACAGATCACCCAGATGGCAAATGATGATATATATACATTTTCCAGTATGACTATTTCCACTGGGCCAGATGGCGATTTAATGTGAACTGTCAAACATTTCTTAGTTTTAATACATTGTCTTATTTTGTCGAAGCCAAGCTAGCAACATAACTCAGGGATCACGAAAGAAAAACAGCAACAAAAATTCAGACCCCAAGTGTGGTGCATGGCATTTGCTCCCTATGGCACGTGAAGGCTACACCCAGTGCACAGCACCCTCTGGAACACCTGGAAGCTTAAGGAGACGCCTGTTGAAAAGCCATACACCCCCCTCTCTCCCCAGACCCTCCTCCTCCGCCCCGTTGCGGGACAGCCATGCTTCCTCAGTGCCTCAGGGTGAAGTGTGCAAGAGCAGTTTCTTCTTCCTTGGCCATTTTCCTTCCACCCTGTGCATTGCCACGCCCTTGTCTGTTACAGGCACCATCCCCACTAGTTCCCCTTAGATAGTTTGAGCTTTGCAGAGAGATCGGTCGTTTGTGGAGTCAGTCACGAGCCGTCACAGGGCTCCCTCAGGACAGCTTACTACCGTCCTGGGGCTGCGGGGCTCCCTGCCAGTGAGCCGTGTGTGGACAAACTTCTGCTGTTCTTAATCATTTGAATACTTCACACAATAACAAATGCCCACAGATTTTTTTTCTTCTGAAACTGAGGTGAAAATCTGAGTAACATGATGTATGACATATCAAGGCTATGACAAGCAACCCTTTGTTGCTGTGTTCTGAATTTGATCAGAACACTTGTTTTAGGAATTCAAAGTGGTTAAAACTCAGCTTTTTTTTTTTTTTTTCCCAAGCAGATGTTTTCTTTCAGAGAGCTCTCATGGCAAGAACAAACATATAAACTTAAAAATACACAGCAAAACCTCTGAGAACACTTTGAAACCTGTTTTGGTCTGTGATAATCTCCATGAAGGCTGCCCAACCTGCATTGAGCAATTTGATGTTATCACTGGAAATGACATTTTGTGTTTTATGTTTCCTGTGTGTTGATAAAGGATTAGCAAGGTGCCCTTGCCTAATTGTTATGGGGAGTTTTAAAACACTGAACTGGTTTCGAGCTGTGCACGGAAGGGCAGTCATATCAGAAATTGAGCAGCAATTGAGAGGGTGTTACTTGGGTACATACAAGTTTACATAAAAGTGTGTTATTTACATTTATTTACAACACCCATTGTATATTCCCAGTGGCCAATTTCCGGCCTTGAAGGAACCAAGTAGCTTCAAGACCGAGTGTTGTTTCAAGGCTCCCTCTCCGGTTAGGTCTGCAACTCCATTCTTCTCCTTTGGCCTGGAGTTTGGTGTCACTCACAGCAAGCAGTAGAACCCATTCCCGTTGGGAGGCATATCAGTACTTGCATATGCTTTACATTTACAGAGAAAGTTCCTCCACATGTTTCATCTGATCCACCAAAATCTGTATTATAGGGGTAGGATGGAGTAGTTAATAATTTACAGCTTATCTATCTGAACCCACTCAAGACATCTCATCTGATGAGGAGAGCCGGGAAAGGGAAAGAAGAGTTACATCAACTCTTGGTGTGATTGCCACTGATAGTTTTAGAATAAATTAGAAATTTTCCTCCCACATAGTTCTGGGTTCTAGGGATACTTTGGACTCATATTTGTGAGGTGTTTCCAACATAAATTCTTCAGTGCTTTTTATGGGAAAGCCAAAACTGGGTACTGGTTTTTATCCTGGGACCTCTTAACAAGAAGCCCCAGGCCCAGGCAGGCTGAGGAACGTGAGGGCAGGACGTGGTCCGTGGCCCCTGGATGTAGAGACAAGTATTGGGGTTTCTCTGTTGTGAATCTTCTGAAGAGTTCAATGTGCTTTCCATGTTCCGTTCTTGAGAAGGGCAGGAAACCATAGAGTTCAATTGAAACTGTATGAGCACACAGTTCTTTAATTTTTAGTACGAGCCTTCAGTAGGTGTGAACGTGCCAAACGTCTCCTTAGCACCTTGTTAGCTCCGGTTTGGAGAATGGCCCAGACAGGATACTCAGCTGTATTTAGATTTCCCCAAGAAGATACGGCCCAACCTAATTACGACTTTAGTGTAGGTTTCTCTATACCTTGGGCCTTTCTCTTTCACATGGCCTTCGTGTAGACATGTCCATTGAAGGCAAAACAATTTTTAAAATGAAAATTATTGTTTTAGTGGGGATCCTCCTGAGAAAAGTCATGTATGACTGAATGCTACACAATTTCTATTTTGTTGCTTGTGGCCAGGTGAAAAGAAAGAGTGGCTCAGTCGTGTCCAACTCTTTGCGACCCCATGGACTGTAGCCCACCAAGCTCTCCTGCCCATGGGATTCTCCAGGCAACACTGGAGTGGCTTGCCATTTCCTCCTGCAGGGGATCTTCCCGACTCAGGGACTGAACCCATGTCTCTTACATGTCCTGCACTGGCAGGTGGGTTCTTTACCACTATCGCCACGTGGGAAGCCCCTGACATATCTATTCTGGCACTTTCCAGTAGTATCTAAGCCTCAATATACTTACCTGTAAAATAGGGATACATGTTTTCTTCATGTGGTTTTGAGACTTGGTTTGTATGTATCTGAAGTACTTAAAACATCGCCTGGCATAGATAGAAAGATCTTAATAGATGTTGCCTTAAAAATAGGTATACCCTAGCCAGTTCTCAAGGGCTACAGGCACTGCTTTAACTCTACCTGCTGTGTGAACTTTGTACTCTTAAGTTATACTGTTTAAAGCTAGGATAACTTATCTCATGGGTGGGGTTTCACAGCTTTGAACGCCAACTTTCAGTCACAGCTAGAGGTGGCTTCTACTCTCTAGTAGCTGGGCTTCCTCTAGGTTGGGTGATCTGTGCTTGGATTTGGTTGGGTGAAATAGCCTGATCGCTCAGCTAAGGAACCACCATGTTTTTCCTGTCCTTTGGCGGCTGAAGACAATAGAGCTGTAAGTGCGCTGGGCAGCCCAGTGCTGCCAGCCGTTGTCTGAACTGCAGTACACACATAGTTCGATGTTTGCACACTGAGTCTGCTGGCCTTCAGCCCCAATTCCCTTTCTCTGTCTTGATTTTTCCAATCTCCATCTCATTGTTTTCAATGTAAATGATCTATTAAATAGAAAGATTTAAATTTCCTATTCAGAATTTAACAAAAACTTAAATTTTAAATCAGAAAAAAATTGTTTTTGACACATTTATAGTTAGAAAATTTGGCCATGGTACCTAAGCCTAGCCTTGTTATATAAATCAGAATAACCAATCCTTCATTGTAAGATTCTCCCCTTGTGTTAGAATGCGTTACCGTCCATCGTTCCCTGGAGCCCTGTTTTTTTTTGGCTTGTGTTATTCAGAGGGTTATTTATCAGGAGTGAGCCTAGTTGGCAACACCCCTTTGGCAGTTCTCCTGACAGCCTCTTGCTTTACCACAGTCACAAGATTACCAGTTGCTAGGACTTGACCTTACCAACATGGTCATACCTCAGGAGTTAAAACTCAGATCAAGAGGAAATTGTTTTTAATAAGTAACCACGGAGACAAATGTAGCAAGAAATGCTAAGCAGAAGATAATCCACTGTTAGGCAAAGACCAAAAGTGGTTTCTCACAACTGCAAGAGTTTAACTTGCAGTCCTTCCCCCCTCTGTAAACTGGCAAGCAAGTTTAGGAGGAAATTTCACATATTCAGTCATGTTCTTCAAACTCCATTTCTCATGATAAACCACTGGCTCAGGGTGCTTGCTCTAACTTTTCTGTTCCATTAGGCAAGTGTGGGGTTTCTTTTGATTCAAGAACATTAACGTGCAACATCTGTGACTTTACTTTTAGTGACCTCTACCATCTCCCAATTCATTAATAATCCAAGTAATAAATGTTAAGAATGGATAGCTGTGTTTGAAGGTGATTTTTTTTTAAAATGAATACATGCAAACACTGGATAGAATTACTGTGTCCTTCCAGAACACTGGACTTATGTTCCTATTCAGATTTTGTTTGTAATCTCCCTACCCCCTACTATCAGCAGTGGTATAAATTATGAGTTATCTATTATTTTAAAACCATTTTAACCATGGTCTCTCTCCTTCCTTTTTTGTTTTAAACATAGGACATGGATTTGATTGACATACTTTGGAGGCAAGATATAGATCTCGGGGTAAGTCGAGAAGTATTTGACTTCAGTCAACGACAGAAGGAGCATGAGCTGGAAAAACAGAAAAAGCTTGAAAAGGAAAGACAAGAACAACTCCAAAAGGAGCAAGAGAAAGCCTTTTTTGCTCAGTTACAACTAGATGAAGAGACCGGTGAATTCCTCCCCATTCAGCCAGCACAACACATACCATCAGAAACCAGTGGGTCAGCCAACTACTCCCAGGTACAGGGGGCACTCAGTTCTCGGCAAAGTGTGGGGCAGGACCCAAAGAACATGGACCCAGGGGTTAATCTGAGTTCCAGCTTTGCCTTTTACTTATTAAGTAAACTTCCCAACCTCAGCCTCCTGATGAGTTCAATGCCTGACTGACTTACCTCAGAGTATAACAATTAGGACATATATATTACAGGGAAGAGCTTTATAAGCTATAAAAAACATTGAAAGGATCAAGCAGCTAGCTGCAACAGTACTGACAGTAGTTGAACTGTTGTAGTAGGGATTACTCATGGTACTGGGACAAGTACTGTTTTAATATTGATTGATTTAATCAACAAAACAATTATGTGAATTACCATTATCCTGCTTTACAGATGAGCAACTGCAGCTCAAAGAGGTTAAATAACTTGTCCAGAAACTGGGCAACAAATTGAAGGGGCCACGATTTGAAATCAGATAGTCTGCTTTGATTCTGTGCTCTTTTTACTAAATTGACTTCTGAAGTAAGAGAGTTATTTGATTAACTAGATTGTAAACATTTTATGAACACTGAACAATTTTTTTCTTCTTCTGTGTCTTTCCCTTTTGTGCAGGTAGCCCACATTCCCAAAGCAGATGATTTGTACTTTGATGACTGCATGCAGCTTTTGGCAGAGACATTCCCGTTTGTAGATGACAATGAGGTATTAACATCTGATTAACAGCAGACCTCCACAACTGTGTCTAATATAACCCACATTGATCCCTTTGGTGCAGTGGTCCCCAGCCTTTTTGGCAGCAGGGATCAGTTTTGTGGAAGACAATTCTTCCAAGGACTGGGGGAGGTGGGGATGGTTCCAAGATGATTTCAAGGGCATTACATTTATTGTGCACTTTATTTCTATTATTACATCAGTTCTACCTCAGATCATCAGCATTAGGTCCCAGAGGTTGGGGACCCCTGCCTTGATGAGTCTCCATTAAAAAGATAAAACAGCATTTTAGGAGCAAATATTTATCGTGGAAACCTCGGCCTATAGGTAACAATTTGGTGCCAAAAAAACAACCTTCCTCTGCCCATATAATGCAGAACCACAAAAAATGTTTACTCCTGCATAGCCAGAAGCACACATGCATCAGCAAAACCATGGAAGCAAATGACTCATTTGTTACAGGTACTTAGAAATAGATTTCTTTGAGTAGAAAGCAGGCTGGGTAGTAAAACCAAGACTTGTTCGGTTAACAATTTTAATTTATTTTCTGAATCACTGTACTAGGTGTTACATAGATACAAATTAAATTCTAAAGATTGTTCTTACGCATTTTGAAGTTTACCTTCAAATGCACAGGGTAAAGCAGTTAAGCTAAGGAATAAACTTGGGAGTCAATTGGGCGAGACAAAGATTTGCTTCATCATATAGAAATAGAAGTTATGACAAATATGGAACTGCAGCCAGTTCCAACTTCAGATGTTGTGATGGCTTTGGGCCGCACCCACCCACTGTTGGTGGCAGATTCATATACAAATGCCTTCTCAATTTTAGGTTTCTTCGGCTGCGTTTCAATCACTTGTTCCTGATATTCCCAGCCACACCGAGAGCCCAGTCTTCACTGCTCCTCATCAGGCTCAGTCACCTGAAACTCTGGTCGTTCAGGTAGCCACTGCAGATCTAGACGATATGCAGCAGGAGATTGAGCAAGTTTGGGAGGAACTGTTATCCATTCCAGAATTACAGGTAACTAAGATCTAGTATAATGAATACCAAAGATGCTATTTTATATTCAGTTCCTTTAAATTAGTCATTCCAGTTATTATTTATATGCCACCTACTTATAGGAAGAATTGGAAGGTGCTTTTAAATTAGTCAGGATAGCCTGGGCACCATGCACACTTCAGTGAACTTTTGTTAGTTAAATGGACTGGATGTCTTGAGGATGGATCAAGTTATAAACCTGAAGTCTGATCTGGGAACTCTGAAAATGTTACATATGCTTAGGTGTAACGATCTGTTGGAAGTGGGAATTATCTCTGAATTCTGGAGGAGCTTGGTGAAAAATCAGGGTGGGGAGAGAGAACCATCAGATACCGAGTATCCACTATTAAAAACAGCTTAACCTTGATTTACATAGTATAAACTTCTTTTCCACAGTGTCTTAATATTCAAAATGACAAGCTGGCTGAGACTAGTACAGTTCCAAGTCCAGAAACCAAACTGACAGAAATTGACAATTATCATTTCTATTCATCAATGCCCTCACTGGATAAAGAAGTAGGTAACTGCAGCCCACATTTTCTCAACGCTTTTGAGGATTCCTTCAGCAGCATCCTCTCCACTGAAGACTCCAGCCAGTTGACAGTGAACTCATTAAATTCAAGTGCCACAGTAAATACAGATTTTGGTGATGAATTTTATTCTGCTTTTGTAGCAGAGCCCAGTACCAGCAATGCCATGCCCTCCTCTGCTACTTTAAGCCAGTCACTCTCTGAACTTCTGGATGGGCCCATTGATCTCTCGGATCTGTCGCTGTGTAAAGCCTTCAATCAAACCCACCCTGAAAGCACCGCAGCAGAGTTCAATGACTCCGACTCTGGCATCTCACTGAACACAAGTCCAAGCGTGGCGTCACCAGACCACTCAGTGGGGTCTTCTGTCTACGGGGACACACTGCTTGGCTTCAGTGATTCCGAAATGGAAGAGACAGACAGTGCCCCTGGAAATGTCAAACAGAAGGGTCCCAAAACACAGTCAGTGTGGCCTTCTGGGGACCCTGTCCAACCTCTGTCATCATCGCAGGGGAAGAGCGCTCCGGCACGTGATTCCCAGTGTGCAAATGCACCAAAGAAAGAAGTGCCTGTAAGTCCTGGTCATCGAAAAACCCCATTCACAAAAGACAAACATTCAAGCCGCCTGGAGGCTCACCTCACAAGAGATGAGCTACGGGCAAAAGCTCTCCATATCCCATTCCCTGTAGAAAAGATCATTAACCTCCCAGTTGAGGACTTCAATGAAATGATGTCCAAGGAGCAATTCAATGAGGCTCAACTTGCGTTAATTAGAGATATACGTAGGAGGGGTAAGAATAAAGTGGCTGCTCAGAATTGCAGAAAAAGAAAACTGGAAAATATAGTGGAACTGGAGCAAGATTTAGATCATTTAAAAGATGAAAAAGAAAAATTGCTCAAAGAAAGAGGAGAAAATGACAAAAGCCTCCATCTACTGAAAAAACAACTCAGCACCTTGTATCTTGAAGTCTTCAGCATGCTACGTGATGAAGATGGGAAGCCTTACTCTCCAAGTGAATACTCCTTGCAACAAACAAGAGATGGCAATGTATTCCTTGTTCCCAAAAGCAAGAGGCCAGATATTAAGAAAAACTAGATTTTGACCTTTTCTGATCTAGTGATTTTGGGTTTTTTTGTACTGTTATACTAAAAAAGCTCCTACTGTGATGTGAAATGCAGAAATATACTTTATAAGTAATTCTATGCAAAATTATACTCAACTAGTGTAGAAAATATAAAACTTTTAAGAAGCATTAAAATAAGTTATCAGTATGCTGAATCAGTAGATTCACTTTAACTTTGTAAACTTAAAATTTCTTAGAACACCATTTGGGCTAGTTTCTATATACTGTAAATACTACAAAAACTCCTTATTTATACTGTTCTTATCTCATTTGTTACCTTCATAGATTTATATGATACATCTGGCTAAAAAGCAAATTGTTGCAAAACTAACCACTATGTACTTTTTTTTTTTATAAATACCATATGAACAAAAAAAATGGCATTTTTTTTATATTAAATTGTTTAGCTCTGGCAAAAGACAATTTAGTTGAAAAACTGGTACTAATAAAGGAATATCAGGACCGTTCTATTATTTCCTTGAAGTTCATTCACAATCTTACATGACAATATCTAGCATCACACTAAATTGGCACGTGTATTATCAGAAAGATTTTTCTATTCAGCAAGTATATTTCAATCAAGAAAAATGCTGTATATACCTCGACATGAAAACACTGGTTCTTTTATTTGTATCAATAGGTAGATGCCATACACATGAAGGTGTGGGAGAAGCATTCTATTAGCAACAAGTATCAGACGCAGGAAGCTGTAAGGCTGGGGGTCTGAAGAACTGTATGGCTTAACATGGAGTGGGAGGAAAAGGGTAGGTTGGTACATTAGGACATGGCACAGATCCTTGCTAAGCCTTCATACCTTGGCTTTTGCCTATTAGAGAACTACTGGAGGTGTTAAGTAGGAGTAACATCAGAATTAAAAGGTTTCCTCTGCCTTGTGTCCATAATAGTCTGAAGAGGAAAGGTAGGAGCAGACCAATGGGGAGGCTCTGACATGCTCACATGGGCATGGTGTCTGTCTGGGGTTACACTAGTGAGGAGGCAGTGGATTCTGCATGTTTCTAAGAACTAAAAGGAGTTTCCAACGAATGGATGCAGGGTGAAGGTGACTCAAGTACTTGAACATCCGAAAGAACAGAGTTGCCCAGACATGGCTAAGACTGTGGCTAAGAGGTCTAGGTGGGAAAATCAGTTCACTTTGGGACATATTCTATGATTAAACATATAAATAGCAGGTAAAAATTAAAGCCCTTTAAAATTTTGAGAATCTGCAAGCCACCCACACAAAGCCATTCACAGCACTCATCACTTCATCTAATCAATGTCTGACTCAAGTCATGTTTAAATTCAAGTGGGAAAATAGAAGTTATCTGAGGGTTAAGCATGTTTAGAACACACAACGGGCAGGTTATTCAGAGTCCTATCAATCCGCTGGGAGCAAGACAGGTCTACATGCCCTAGAGCCAGGTTGCCTGGGCTGCTGCCATTTTCCAAGAATGACTTCCAGTGAGGCAAAGCATGCAGCTTACTCATCTGTAAATTGGGGATAAACATGCAGTGAATTACTCCAAAAAATAAATACAGAGCCTAGCTAATAGCAAGCACTCTATAAATGATATTTTCTTTGGCCCTACATTAGCAAGAGAAAGGGAATTAAAGTCAAACTAGCTTATTAAGAATTTGACTCAGATGACTGGAAAGTTCAGAGATGGAAAACGACTAAGGGTAAATCCAGGCATTCAAATGTACTCTGCTGTGGGCTTCCCTGGCAGCCCAGATGATAAAAGAATCCACTTGCAATTTAAAACACTTGGGGTTCAATCTCTGAATCATGAAGATCCCCTGGAGAAGGGATTGGCTACCCACTCCAGTGTCCTTGCCTGGGAATACCTATAAACAGGAGCCTGGTGAGGTGTAGTCCATGGGATCACAAAGTCGACACAACTTAGTGACCAAAAACTCCTTCCCACAATGGTACTGAGATAGATCCCTGTAAGATACCCCTTTCCCCACCTCAAGACAATCTCATCTTGAATAAATTACCCTTATATAAAATATTGGGTGAGGGTGATAGTGAACAATCTTATCAGTAGCCACCACTTGGAGTACCTGGAATTAACTTTAGCATCTACTAACCACCCTCCCCTCCCCCCACCCCCACAGGGGAAGAACACTCCACTAGCATGACAGCAGATACTTTCACTCCCATTCATTCATTGTCATATCCAGAAATACTTTTAAGACAACCAATCACATCTCAGTACCTAAGAATTATTCTGAAGTACTATACATACTGCATTACATAGAACCAGAATTTTAAAACCTAACAAATTCTAAGTGACCCGTGACTAAAAGATTTCATCTCTTGATCAAGATTTGAAATATATTTATCATTAACTCCTCAGATTTTTAAACTTGGCTATCCGATTAAGCCTTAAACTCAGTTCCTCATTTCAAAATGTGTACCAATGCCTTTCACATCAAGGTATAGCAAGCATTCTATTAGAAATCTTAATTTCATGATAATCCATTTGTTGTACAGAATTCTTGCAAGATTTCTCCTGAAGCCTGTGGAGTGGCCCCTCAAAGTACCTTAAACTTACTCATTCTTCTAAGTCTCAGAACATACACAAAATATTCCCAAAGCTATTACCAGGTCAACTCCAGCTTTTCTCTGAGAACTGGGAAAAAATTTAGACAAGAACTTTGAGTCTACATGGAGAGGAAAACCTCCCGATAGCATTAACTTCATCACCCTTAAAAAAAATATCTTTAGGAACCATCTAACAGGTACTAGCTTTAGCTCTTTAAATCCATTATCAGATTTAACCTTTAGACTTACTACATCACTAGATTACTGTAGACTTGTCTCTCAGAATGCCACTTATCCACAACTTCAAGGTTAAATTTAGCACTAGGCTTATTTGATGCCTAGAGCACATACTGCTGAGTCAAACCTAATACTTGATAACCATTGTCAAAGTAAGATTTAATTCTACATAGTTGATGCATATAAAAAATATTCTAAGGGGCCCACTACCATCACCAAACTACCTAAGGGAGCATGGCATATAAAGAAACCCCTAATAACTTGATCATGGTCACACAACTATGTGAAAATTCCTGTTTGCATATTTTCCAATACTTTTAATAAAGGGTGTTAAGACAACTGAGGTTAAATGCAAATAACCTGTTGAAGAGTACTTCTGATGCAATTAACTCAAAATTTGTTGGCAGAATGGACTAATTCGACGTCTTTTTTTAAATGAAAATGACATGTATCCTATTTTTCAGATACAGGTATAACATCTGATAGAATGTAATCCTTGTGATAAGCCCAAACTATTAATGTCTATATACATGGATGTGCTGAAATTTTACCATTTCTCATTAAGCTGTCCACATCCTCGTATCATTCACGTTACCAATTTAAAAACAGGACAGATAAAGCCATTATTTCCCAAGCAGCTTCCAGTGTCATGCTGCCAGGCAAACACAGATGCACCCTTGCCCCTACCTGACTGAAAAAGCAGTAAGCAAAAATGGCATTTTACAAACCTACTACTTTACTCTTCCCCCAACCCTTGGTACTTCATACTCAGTTCCAAGTTCAATTAACCTAATGTTTTAACTGGATCCCACTTTTAATTCCAGTACATGGGAGGGTCCAATTTGTCCTAACATTTTGCATTTTCATTCTGAGCAAATAGCTTACTTAACTCAAGCATTAAACTCTAATTTATAACCTAGTTTCACAGAATACAAAACTATTCTATGAAAGCAATATTGAATAAAAGCAAAATGTGTCAAGATCTTGTTAACAGCCAAAAATCCTCAAGAGGGTGTCAATTCAGAAAGCATTTAACATGTTAATAACTATCAACGCAAAGAAATTAGTGTTATCTTTTCCCAACCCTTCAATGAAAAAATGCTCAACTGCCTTTTTCGAGGTTAAGAAACCAAATACTTTTGGCTTTCCTGGTGGTCCAGCGGTTAAGAAGCCGCCTTGTAATGGGGGGAGGAGGGACACGCGGGTTCGATCCCCGATGGAGGAAGACCCCCCATGCCAGAGAAACTAAACCTGTGTGCCACTACTGAGCCCTTGTGCCCAAGAGCCTGTTTCTCAAGGTTAGAAGCCCTCACACCAGTAGAGTAGCTAGCCCCACTTACAACTAAAGAATGCCCACTACCCAAGACTTGGCACAGCCAAAAATTAAAAACCCAAATACTTATAGTACCTAACATCTGGAATCCCCTTTCCTCTAAATTGCTTATTCACATAACTGCTTAACTCCAATTTTTCTCCAAGGAAAGTTGTTTCTCCTCACCAGTCACCTGCTGCTTATCCCTAAAAATCCCTAAGTGGCAGTAAAATTTCCCACACCTATTCCCCATGTGATGTTTTCCACTGAATAGAATCTACAACCTTTAACTGATAATGTGAAGGCTCATTCATTACAGGTTTCCTTTTTTACTTATTTGTAATGTCCACCTATTCACCACTGAAGTCACATGAACATTGTGAAGTAACAAAACAACACACACATTTCTAAAAATATTTTAATGAAAAAGTTCTTTCTGTAAACATTTCATTATACTACAAATAAAACATTTGAATCCATTACAGACCACCTCTTAAAAGTCTTATAAACCAGAGTAAAACATTGAGATTTAAAAGAAATCTTGAATACTTGAAATAGGCTAACAATCCTTACGTTACCCCTGCACATTAGCATGCTTACTCACTACTTTGTGACAATTACTGGAATTCCAAGAGATACTGGCATTAGAAATATTTCAAATTGTGACTTACATAGTCAGAACCCTTAAAACCAATTTTATTTCAGCTGTTCAGTTCAACAAATAGTCCTTTTTACCAAATTTTCTTCTTTAGGACATCAGTGTAAATTTTTTTTTTTTTTGAAGAAATGTAGTGTGGGAAGCTGTAACCTAGGAGTTTTGATAAAAGGTTTGCCTTGGCCATCTCTTGTGTTGTTTACTGGTGTTACAAGTTACGAGCATTGTATTTTTCAGAAATGACAATGGAACTACATTTAAATAAAATCACTTTATTTCATAAAATCGATGGACTGGAAAAGAACAATGCCTTGCCTTTAAAAAAGAAAATGTTTCATTATCTTAGGAAATTTGTGTCATTAAAAACCATGTTGTAAAGAAAAATTATTAAAAAGGCTATTTACCTTATTTAACACTTCTATGTGTAGAAACTCAGCCCTGATTTAGTCCGAGACCCAACCAACCATTCTCTGAAAATAAATCTGTGGCAAACTAACTACTCTTGTTTATATTAAGAACTTGACTTATAATTTAGAAGCCAGTTTTATTTTAACCGTCCATCCCCTCTCCCCCTAGTGTTATTTTAAAAAGTGAATTAACACCAAATCTCAAATTTTAACAAGCCCTTTTGGGGCAGCAATAATAGCCCTTATGAACAATCAGCATCTGACTTTGTGTAGCAATGGAGTAATTTTTAAACTATTCTTTGGGAAAGGTTGTC